TTTGTTGTTGGAGGGGGGAGGGGGGGGGGGGGGGGGGACTGTGGAGGGTGTTTAAGACGATGGTTGTTGAGGAAAAGTGATCTGACACAGCTAGTAATTACAGCCCAGTGAAATGACTGGCGGACGACGAAGAAACAGAGTCTCGCTTGTGAAAATGTAGGAGGCGGGTCAAGAAGGGAATCACAGTCTTGTGTATTAACTTAATTAACGCAATATACACAAATAATCTGTACACAAGTATGTACAAAACACTTCAGAAGTGTCCGTTTCCTTCATAGTTCACTGCTGCTAGCTTAGCAGATGGAAAGATGAGGAAGGAAGAGAAGAGAAGAAAGGTGGAAGAGACGGGAACTTTGGTAGGGTCTGGGAATGGGAGAGTCACGCAAGTCGATTTTCTCCTTTCCTGAACTGAATGAGGAACAAAAGCAGCGTTTGTTGAAAGACCAGCAGCTCCTCGCGGCATCCGCAGTGGAGAACTGCATTATAAGACACAAACCCTTCACTCTAATAGAGCCGGGAGTCTTCGTGCTCTTGCGAACGCATGGACAAGCTGGATAGCAGTAGTAGAAATCAGTAGTGTTCACCGAGACCTGCAGGAGCAAGTCTTCCTCGCTCGATTCGGTTTATCTAGATGGAGTCAGGCCGAAGATCTGGGGTACAGGTGGTGTGTGTGTGTGTGTTTCTGTGCACGGAGGAAGTGACATCATGTCTCAGGGAGCTGGCTGATGTCTGTTAGGTTGGTGCCGTTGAGGATGGCACGGATGCGCTCTAACGAGTCTGCTTGCCGGATACGCTCCAATTGCACCTGAAGGGAGAACAAGAACATTGTATCTTCAGCTGTATGCATGTGTGTGTGTGTGTGTGTGGTAACAAATTCAATGATCTCAATAACAATCTGTATTTTTATTTTAAATGAAGGACGAAAAAAAGTCTCTTAAAAAAACAACAACATTTAAAATCTTACAAACCCTTGTGTACATTTTTATTTTTGCGTAATTTTATTTTTGAATTAATAAATGTATCATTTATTCTTTTATTATTATATATATATTTTTTTTTTTACAAATCTCATGCTCACCAATGCTGCATTTGTTTGATCACAAATACAGCAAACACAGCAATATTGTGAAATATTATCACAGTTTAAAAATAACCGTTTTGTATTTTAATATATTTTTAAAATGTCATTTATTCCTGTGACGGCAAAGCTGAATTTTCAGCATCATTCCTCCAGTCTTCAGTGTCACATGATCCTTCAGAAATCATTCTAATATACTGATTTGGTGCCCAAGAATCATTTCTTATCATCAATCTTGAAAACAGTCATGCTGCTTATTATTTTTCTGGAAACAGCGATACACTTTTTAAGATTCTTTGATGACTATAAAGTTAAAAACAACAGCATTTTTATTTGAAACAGAAATCTTTAGTAATATTATAAATGTCTTTACTGTCATTTTTGATCAAGTGATCCTTGCTGAATATTAGTAATAATTATGTATTGCTCAAACGTTTCAAATGGACAAATAAACACATTGTTTATTGAATTCTTGTTTAACAGTGTTAATGAAAATGTAATAAAATAATATAATATAATCGCCTTTCAATTGGACAAATAAATTGATTACAAATATTTGATTAATTATTTAACAATTAAATTTATTCATGTTTGAACTCATTTTACATCGACACTCCTATTCATTAAAAACATACACTCACTTGAGGTGGATACCATTTTGATTTAGTGAGACAAAAGCACAAACACATTTACGGAAGAAATTCCTAGATGTGCATCAAAAAAGTAGTGTGTTTTTGCCTCAAGTCATATGACTGCATAACTCACTAGAAGAAGAGAAGAAAAGCTACCATCATCTCCCAGAAGGGTCTTGACGTGCAGTTGTGCCTCAAGCAGTCCTTCATGTTCTACTAGTGAGCTGTGTTTACCTGAAGGGTCTGGGACAGTTTGACGAAATCTCTCTGGACCTGCTCGCTGACATCCAGCTCTGTCTGAAGTCTCTGTGCCTTGTCTTTCTCTTCAAACACCTGAGTCGCCAAAGCACTCTACAACACACACATTTTTTTTTCTTTTGTAAATAAGGGTTTCACTTTACTTTCTAATACAGGATTATATTAACTAAAACGAACATGCAATCTTTTGTTTGATGCAAATCCAACACTGCTGTTTGTTTGGTCTAAGAATTCTGCTTATCTTATCAAATGATCCATCACATGCACAGGAAACTGAGCAGACTCTGAACTTTGCGATGAGTTATGAGAAACATAACTCAAAGATGAGCATGCAGAAGTCTAGTGTGAAGGCAGAGCGCAGTGATCACATGAGGGTTCAGACCTTGCTGCCGAGGACGTCTTTCAACCGTTCCTCCAGACTGTTCTTCAGGCCCTGGATGCTCGCCAGCATCTGGCTCTTCTCTGCCAAGCTGCTCTCCAGCTGTTGTAAAAATCAGCAGATTGGTCAAGTACAGACAAAAAAAACATTGATGAGAATGAATAAAAATACTGCAGGAAAAACACTCCTATTATTACTTCTACTATTGTGAGAAAAATACTGATATTATGCATAAATACCATGCACCGTAAATATTATTTAATACATTATTGAGAAAAATGCACTTCTCAAATACTATTCTGCAAAAAAAGCCAAAAAAAAGCATAATTCTCTTTTAGCTTTTGGGTTTTGGAGTCACATTGACTTGGACAAGTTCTTGACCCGTTTTGTGACGTTCAAGCTAAAAGGTAATAAAAATCAGCAATCTGCCTTGAACGTCCTACCTGTTCCTTCTCACTCTTCACTCGTTCCAGTTCTGTTTTCAAGCTGGAAAAAGATGCTATAGGTTGGAAGACATGAACACAAAAAAAAGCATGGTCACATGCTATTGCTGTGTTTTGCATTAGTCAGACACAAACTCAACGCATGACTAGTTCTTGACAAAAACATGAGAACAAGGCAAGCGTTCTCCTCGGTAACAAGAGGAATCATTCGCTCAAAGATCTGTGTGTTAGTGCTGCTGACTGAGCCAGAATGAAAACTGAAAAACTGTGACTTGACAATGAATTCAACGTGACTTGGAAATTACAAGTAGACAGTTGAGGGTGTGTTTTTAAGAATGTTTAAGCTAATAACTCCATCTCCTCAAGCTTGGACTTCTGTATCTGCACCCCGTCACCTAAAGAATGCTTACAGCAGTATTACAGTTGCTCTGAACAGTGCTGGGGACTAACTAACTGAAAGATATGTAGCTGATACTACATCATTCAGCAGCATAATGTTTCAAAACAGTGTAGGATTTTCAATTACTTTAACAAGTAACAATAGCTAAAAAAAAATTGAAAAAATTAAAAGTGTGCCGCTTTTCAGCCGAGCGAGTTGAGGAAATAAAACTGTTAATCGTGTCTTTGCATTTTGCATTTGTAGAGAAATATTTAGTTAAATCATGTCATTCATCACCATGTCTTCAACTTAATTACTGTATAAATTAGGGCTTTTTAGGGGTGTTTTTTTTTTAAAATGTAAATTACTATTAACATTTAAGTATCAATACTTAAATATTAAATGTTTTTCCCATATCCCAAGTTTAATTTCACTGAGCTGAACCCAACATCATGTTAAGACATATTAGTACAGTACACAGCTAAATGTCCGGCCGACCAAAATTACTCCAAGAGCACAACAACGACTCATCCAAGAGGCCATAAAAGAACCCAGAACAACATCTAAAGAACTGCAGGCCTCACTTGCCTCAATTAAGCTGTGTTCATGATTCAACAATAAGAAAGAAAAATTTCTTAACGGCATCCATGGGAGAGTTCCAAGGCTGGGCATCCATGGGAGAGTGCCAAGGCAAAAGCCACTGCTGACCAAAAAGAACAAAGGCTCGTCTCTCATTTGCCAAAAAATATCTTGATTATCCCCAAGACTTTTGGGCAAATATTCTGTGCAAAAGCTGAACTTTTTGGAAGGTGTGTGTCCCGTTACATCTGGCGTAAAACCAACACAGCATTTCATAAAAAGAACATCATACCAAGAGTCAAACATGGTGGTGGTAGTGTGATGGTCTGGGGCTGCTTTGCAGCTTCAGGACCTGGACAACTTGCCATAATTGACGGAACCATGAATTCTGCACTCTATCAGAAAATCCTGAAGGAGAATGTCCGGTCGTCAGTTTGTGACCTCAAGCTCAAGCGCACTTGGGTTATGCAGCGATGCATTATGCAATGATCCCAAACACACCAGCAAGTCCAACTCTGTATGGCTCAAGGAAAACTAAATTAGGGTTTTGGAGTGGCCAAATCAAAGTCCGGACTTAAATCCGATTGAGATAGATTTAGAGTTCATAGTAGTGATAGAAATTAATCTTTTCCAATAAGTTTAGATTGATTTTTACCTTTTATGGGCATTTTTACCTTTATAAATAAATTTTTATTAAAAGTGTGCATCATCTTTCGAGTCAAATTCTTACATTTTATCAGGCAATTATAACAATACTACATTTAGGCTGTTACTAAAATGAAATCAGTATCAATAAAATTCATCTTTGCAGAATGGCAAATTAGATGATTAGAAATTAGAAATTAATCTTTTCCAATAAGTTTAGATTCATTTTTACCTTTATAAATAAATTTTTATTAAAAGTGTGCATCATCTTTCGAGTCAAATTCTTACATTTTATCAGGCAATTATAACAATACTACATTTAGGCTGTTACTAAAATGAAATCAGTATCAATAAAATTCATCTTTGCAGAATGGCAAATTAGATGATTAGAAATTAGAAATTAGAAGTGGCATTTAGATGTATTTACACATGTTAATGCAGCTTAGAGGGACATGGCATGCTTTAACCTGCAGTTACAAATGCATAAATAATGTTTTGATATTTTAAACATGAAATGTTGAATAGTGATATTTAAATTATTTAAAAAAATTTAAAGATACTTTAAATGTGAAATTAAATTCGCCAGTAAGTGGCAGCAAGTCACTGTTAAGTGAGTCATTGCGAATGAACCGAATCATTTAAATGGTTGATTTTGCTCAGAGACTCAAAACAGCGCTGTGTTTGGAATGTTTTCTGTTGGTGAAATAACGCAAAAACAGCCAATATGGTGTCTAAAACGTAAGTCTCTTGATATTAACTTGTTTATTGAACTGTTGTATAAAATCAATATCACATTTGTAACCATGCTGATTTTTTTATATTTTTTTTAAATGGCACTATATACGTGTGATATTAACTATATGAATTGATATAAATATATACATTTTCCAACCCCCTTAACTTGAATTATGTGATCATTCGTAATGCATATTAACAGACTGAATCATGCAATCAAAGAATGCACTCTAAATGCGCACAGCACAAAGTTATAGTCTAACCAGACTACATCACGTCGCGTATGCGTGCACTTTGTAACTTAGGTGTGTTTTGTTTGGTTTTTGCAATATACTCGATAATGTCACGATGTCTCAAGAGTTCAGTATTTGCGCTAAACCAGCGCAGATTTGGCTTGCATGAACTTCCCAAAGAAATTAATGAGTGAACATAACTTACGAAAAGTAACCCGCCAAACTGGCTAGTGATTTGACAGCGTTACCCGCCACAGCTGATTTTTACCCGCATATGGCGAGTTGGCGGGTGTTAATTTCAAACCCTGTATATATACACATACACATATATATGTATATACTGTATATATAAATAAATAACTGCACACTGATGCATTTCAACCAACAATGCCTTCCTCAGAGTGTCCCAACAACAGCTCTTAACCATGGTTAAATAACAGCCTCTTCTGCAGAATTACAATTATTTTTGGCATATTTTCTTACTATGCTGCTAAAGAAGGGGGACCAATCAAACAAGGTGCGTTCAAGTGTTAAAACCGCTAGATGAAATGCAGTGGAATCGAACAGAAGGTGCATCTCACATATGTGCTGTAGTACCTGTACAGTGGCAGGCATGTGAAAGTCCTCTTGCTGCTGCAGCGTCATGTGAAGTCTGTGTTTACCCTGAAGACTCTCATTATCTCTCTGCAGTCTGTTCAGCTCTTCAGTCACCTGCTCTCTGGACTGTAGCAGCACAGCCTGAACACACACACACACACACCACTTAGCCTATTAGCCTCCTAAACCCTCTGGAAGCCACAAAAGCATATTTCCAAGTAAAGAGGAACACGAACCATTATAAAAGAGGATTTTTAAAGAAATCTGCCAATGAAAATATCAGTGACCCTGAGAGATTCACCAAGCATTCCTCAGGTAATAACTAACCGACAGAAACCTTTCAAAGGTGATTTATTTAGGGTATCATGTTTATCACCATCAAGTTTATCACCTTAATAGTGCAACTTCAGATTTGAAACAGATGTGCCTCAAGAAATTCCAGAAAGCATGAATACTAAATGCCAAAAGACACTTCTGCACAGTAGTACAAATCATACAGGCATGAAGAAATTCAAAATAGGACTAGATCTAAACCAAGAGGTTCTTCATTAAATGTTTTTAATGGGACAAAAAACATATGCTCTCACTGAAAGTCATCGAGGATAGCAAGTGAATGTTGTTGTGTAATAGTGTGTGTATTTGGTCATACCATCTGTTCCTGGGTGTTCCTCTTGGCCTGGCTGAAGGCCTGTTGGAGAGTGCTTACGAGAGACTCAGACTCCTGAACTTTCTGCTTCAACTCTGAGATCTGTGCACCAGACAAATGAAAAGGAATGACGTCATTTGACTGGGAAGAAGAGTAACATTCAGAGCAGTCTGCACATTCTTCACTTTTGTGAAAAATACTGTGAAGACACTGTGGCTGTGTTCTAATTCCTGGTGAGCTGCCTAACCAGGCATCAAGGTACACTACTGTTCAAAAGTTCCCATTTTGGTTAGTATGCTTCCTTAGAGGTTGAAACATAACCGTTATCTTGCTATTGTGAGGAAAAATTATAAAGATGAACAATTACTGCACTTTCCTCACTGTATATGATGCTCCAATTTACACGTGTGTGATCCCATCTAAGTTTAACCTGTCAACAGATTTGTGCTTCACTAAATCCATCAGAGAGATGAGATTTACCTTGGCAGTAGTTTCCTCATTGGCCTGCTTGACAGAGTCCTCTAACTCCTGCCTCTCATTCATTGTCCGCTCCAGCTGATCGTTCGCCTGCCGCAACATGGCCTGAAGCTTTTTAACCTGAAGGCACCACCAAAGGAAGTTCACTGTATAACAATACTACAGAATGTAATTTTGAATCATTTCATTATGGGTCTTGTACGTGACTTTAGCGGCATAAAAAACAAACCTGATCTCGTGTCTCGGCCTCTTGTCCCTGAATGACCTGCAGCTGTTTCTCATAATTAGAGCACATATCACATCTCCGCCCCAACTTCCTTCCAGCGTTCTTCAACTGGGGGGAAACCACACCAAAAACAAACACAAAAGTATTATTAAAGCATATTTAAGATCTCCGCTCATTGCTGATCCATTTCAAACAACTGTATGCTACACTGTTGTCACATGACACGTTTAAACAAGAAGTGTTCAGTTATCAAACTTTCTTAAAACGATTAAAATTCACGCATTTTTGATCCAGATCATTCACCAAAATGCAAATTGAAAGTGCATTGCATTGTGGGATACAGTAACTTGTATTTCCTACAGAAATCCGTTTTTGCAGCGAGTCAGTAATGACAATGATTCACAAAACCTCAAGTTCACAAAACTTCATTTTGAAAGGGACATTAGTGGAAGCAATGGAAACTTACAGTTCAGTGAGTCAGATGTTGATTCAGCAACCTCTGACTGATTCAGTGAGGAATTTGTTACACTGATTCAAACTTCAGAGCTTAAAAGAACTGGCTATGGTTACACTTTATCTGATTTACTAAAAAGAACCAGCTCAAAAGATTAATTTGTTTGGAAACACAATACCAATACACTGGTTGCACTGGATGTTTCTGCTTCCCTAAAAAGAAAGGCTCAGTAGAGTCATTTGTTCATGGAATTGGCCATATAAAAGCAAATGTGGTAGATCATTCATTAATTTTGTGGATTCAAAAAATCCATACTTAACAGTATAAATACTATGTAGTACAAAAATATTACAAGCAAAATTATAGTGTCACTCCAAACATAAGCATAACTCGTTTTAGATCACAACATACATTCACCGGCCACTTTCTTAGGTACACCAGCTCAACTGCTCTTTAATGCAAATATCTAATCCGCCAATCACATGGCAGCAACTCAATGTATTTAGGCATGTAGATATGGTCAATACAACATGCTGAAGTTCAAAGCAAGCATCACAATGGGGAAGAAAGGTGATTTAAGTGACTTTGAACATGGCATGGTTGTTGGTGCCAGACGGGCTGGTCTGAGTATTTCAGAAACGGCTGATCTACTGGGATTTTCACACACAACCATCTCTAGCTTTTACAGACAATGGTCTGAAAAAGAGAACAATAGTAGATTGGAAGAGGGTTGCCTAGTCTGAAAAGTCTCAATTTCTGCTGCATCATTTGGATGGTAGGGTCAGAATTTGGCGTAAACAACACAAAAGATTGGATCCATCCTGCCGGTGGTGTAATGGTGTGGGGGATATTTTCTTGGCACACTGTGGGCCCCATAATACCAATTAAGCATTGTTTAAACGCCACAGCCTACTTGCGTATTGTTGCAGACCATGTCCACCCCTTTATGACCAGAGTATAACCATCTCATGATAGCTACTTCCAGCAGGATAATGCACCATGTCACAAAGCTCAAATCATCTCAAACTGGGTTCTTGAACATGACAATGAGTTCACTATACTCAAATGACCTCCAGAGTCACCAGATCACAATTCAATAGAGCACCTTTGGGTGTGGTGGAATAGGAGATTCACGTCATGGATCTGCAACCTCCAATGTCAATCTCTGGGAAATGTTTCCAGCATTTTCTTGAATCTATGCCATAAAGAATTACGTTCTGAAGGCAAAAGGGGGTCCAACCCAATACTAGCAAGGTGTACCTAATAAAGTGGATGGTGAGTGTATTTTCACTAACAAGGCTACTGTTTAGCTGGGTTCAACAGTAAAGAAAACAAAATAGAGACAGCCGATACAAACAAAAACACCCCCTAAAAAGCATCTACTATCTGACCTCTTGCTGCAGCAGATTCCACTCGCTCTCGCTGACCAATCGGTAGCCAGACGGAGGAAGGTAAGCTGTATCGGCAGTATGAGAGATGCTGGACAGGAGTGATGCAGTTTCCTCCTGCTCTGGGGTCATGGCCTTAATGGCCTTCTCCTGGTCTTTGGTGAGGAGAAAGTGTCCCGGCTGGAGGGATGACATGGAGGAGGTGTCCCTGCTGTCAAAGCCTCCACAGTCTGCCCCCACTAGAGGGCCAAAGTCTGACTCGTCCAGCTGGCTAGCTGACTTGGCCTTGTTGTTTTGTCCACCCAGCCCATGAGGCTGTAGGGCCCCTCCTGAAGAACCCAGGCTATCAGTGGACTGCACCCTCCGAAGCCCATCCTTATAAGGGTCAGAGCTGTCCGGACGGCTCGGGGTGTCTGCGTCCAGAGAGTGTAAAGAGCTGTGGATGCTCTGGCTGAGGTGGGACTGAGATCAAAATGAGAAAAAGAAAACAAGATGCTTAACATTTAAGGTAACGTTACAGTCAACATTGTAGATTTTAAGTTAATAATAATTAACTGAAATTCTATTTAAAACCCAAGTAATGATGATCAGTCATTCTTTTGTAACACTATACAAACAATATTTCAGCACAGCATTCAGCTATCATTTCTGCACTGCAGAAAGTCCAATCATAAAAATGTATGGTATAACGCAGAATGTTGTGACATTTGGCAAATTATGGATGAATAAATCAAAAGTTGGACTGTACACTTCATCAAATCGAAACATGAGGATTTTTTTTTCATGTTTTAAATTTAACAATAAACCTCTGTTGAGCAGCACTTTGTTTGCCAAAAAATAAAAGGAATTGTTACATTTTCATTTGATTACATTTTAAAGATTATTTACTTATTGTTTGGTTACCTTTGATTACAACCAGTAATTTATATAGTATAATTACTAATATAGATAGTAATTTGTATTAAATCATAAATCCAGAAAACACAGAATTTCTGAAAAAAAAAACCTCTTCTATGGAGAATCCGAGCAGAGAGTCCTCCACTGTTTCTCCATGCTCTGTCCCATCATCCTCACTGGCCTCTTTAGCCTGGCTCAGTCTTTCCATCTCATCCTCTTCCTGGAAAAATATGCAAATATTTGCATAAATGTACAGTAATCGCAAGACTAACCAGGTGTCCTAACAAGGTGCAAGACGATAATGCAACAAGTGATAAATACTCTTACTTGCAATGTTGGCCTAGATTCAGAATTTAAGAATTGGCTCCCTTTCAATTCATAAAATTCAATTTGAAGTGAACTGACACCCCACAGGATGTTGAATTGGAATTTGAATCAGAATTTACTGAAATGCCAACAAAAATGAAATTCCTTTTTTGACTGACATTAATTTTTATCTAACATAAGTTTTGCAAACAAATGAGATAATTGCACGTCTAATTATCCCTAATATGTAGACTATATTAACTGATTTGACATACTTCTCTGAACCAAGTTAAATATCAAAACAATTAAAAAAATTTAGAGATAAATTAGTGCAGTTTGGGGAAAAGGTCTTCAGCCATGATTTATAAAATTTGTTTAAAAAAAATAACTATTAATACCAGTGAGCCTCACATAGATCGACCCTCACATAAAAATACTGCTACCAACTGTTTTAACTATTTCAATGCGGAAAAAAAAAAAAAAAAAAAAACTTTAAAGAGGGGAAAAAATAATTATGGTCTCATTGAAACATCACCAAACACTACATAAAAAGGCACAGCTAAATATGACATTTATTATAATAGGTTTATGTGAATATTATTCAATTAAATTAAAACTCATACTATAATAACTTAAACCATTATACTATTATTACTAATTGTTATACTATTTTTAATGTTCTGTAACTGTTATAAACATATAATAATATAAACGACAAATATGAATTTATATCTGATAACAGATCACTGTAAATTGTAATGTAAACATGCATTTTCTGAAAAGTTGTATTGTGAAAAGCACAAAAAAAAAAAATAAAGGCCTGTAATATTGAATGGCTAGACTTACTTAATTGGAGAAAATAAAAATAAAATAAAAAAAACACAAACATTTGATAGAGGCATCAGTATCAGTGATAGTGGTCTACATTCATACTACTTAGTAAAAAGATTTCAAGAAACAAATAATATTAAATATTTAAAATACTGTGTTACTGTGACACTTTGTTACTGTCTTTCCATAGTAATTTGGAGAATGTGAAATATTCATCTGATTAATTATGCGATTAATCACAATTAGTTACAAAAATCTCTGATTATTTTTTTTATTAATCAACAGCCCTACTGATCTATAGATAACGATTCAAACATTGATCTAGTGCTTCTAGACATACTCTATATGTTGTAATATATGTACAATGTTTATGGGTAATACATACTGAAAAATGAAACACATTAAAAAAATTGGTTTCTGTTTTTGTCAAGTCAGGCTCCACCCACAGTAAAGTTTCTTTAGTCTGAACTCCTGCTCCATATTGTTGTGTGTTAAACAAAAATGTTCTGACTGGCAAAGGGGTTTTTTTGGAGCTTCATGAAGCATTTTAGCTTTTAGTTAGACCAGAAGAAGAAAAAAATAAACTTAATGCTGGAAGCTTGTTGCTTCATGTCTGGTTAGGACACAGTGCAAACAACCTCAATTGAGAATTGCTTTTAGTCTGAGCTTTAGAACGGATTCAATTAATGCTTCCAGTTCATTAAACAACAGAAGTACCTGGTCCCTCTTCTTCATCTCCTCCACCTGCCGCAGCTGCTCGGAGGACAGAACGCTCTCAATGCGCTGCATGTCTCGCATCAGCAGCCGCTGTGACTCCAGGAACTGATCGTTGGCACGTTGCCAAGTGTGTTTCAGCTGATTGTGCTGCTGTCGCTCCAACTCCAACAGGTGAACCACTGGAAGATAAGCCAAACTGGGCGTCAATCAACAGAAATCAACTGACTATGTCCTCGGAATGGGATATAAAGGCCTCTAGCCTATCACAGCTCTACAGTACGAGCATTTCACTCACATTCGCAAGTGAAAATTACTGTGTGAATGTGAAAAAAAATAAAAATTTGGTGCATATGTGCAAGTGACACCTGATCAAAATGTATGATGTAAAACACCTTCAACACAAACTAATGCATCTAACCTTATACCGAATAAACTACATTTTACATTTGAATTGAGTTTATTACTATATAAGTTAATGAAAAAAGCATGCTGCTGTGTAGAGGAGTGTTCACACAGGATGCATTTGTTCTCTTTTTTGTGCGACTGACACCATGCGGAGTTAAATGCTGAGTTTAAAGACAGTCAAGTTAAAAATAGTTTAACTTTTAAAAACATGTCTTGAGACCTTGCGTTCTGTTTCTGAATGCAAAGACATATCCTGTATGCACTTCCTGATACGACACTAAGGTATAGTATAGTGCAAACTGCAATGCTTGTCAAAAACTAACACAAAGCTATTGTTAAGTGTTATGACTACATATTATCCGTTCAAAAGTTTTGGATCGGTAAGATAAATGTAAAAAAGAAAAAAAAAGAAAAACGGTAATATTGTGAAACATTTAATTATTTTAAATTACATTGTAATTTAAAATATATTAAGAATGACATTTAAAATAAATGTTTTCTATTTTAATATATAATTTAACATGTAATGTATTCCTGAAAGCTGAATTTACAGCAGCCATAACTCCAGGCTTAAGCGTCACATGACCCTTCAAAAATAATTCTAATATGCTGATTTGGTGCTTAAGAAACGTTTCTTATTATTATGAATGTTGATAAAGGTTATGCTTCTTAATAGGATTTTTTAATGAATCTTTAATGAATTCTTTAACGAAGGAAGTTCAAAAGACCATCACTTGTTTGAAATAGAAATTTTGTAACATTTTAAATGTCTTTACTGTCACTTCGTATCATCTTAATGCAGCCTTGCTGAATACAAGTAGTAACTTCTTTATAAAACAAATATACATATATAAAGCCTAAAATAACCCTAAACGATAGAAGAAAAAAAAAAAAGGAGAAATAATAAAAAAAAAAATGTTTTTTAACATTTATCATACATCACCTATCTTATATGAGTGCCTGCTAGGACAAATGCTCTAATTTGCAGTTAAAAGTGAATAAATAAAATAAATAAATAAATGAAACTATACATAACATGCGGCAAACTAAAATTACCAATCAATAAACCAAAATAAGAAGAACATGTAAAATTACATAGTGTTATGAAAAGAAAAAAAAAACATACAGTGTTCTATGAAAATAAAATGTTTGCATAACAGTATTTTGGTCACATACCTTCATGTAGTTCTTTCCGAAGTTTTTCTGCATCCTCTTGAAGGACAGATTTCTGGGTGTTGAGGACAGCAACATACATCTCCAAGTCTGTTCGGCATGATTTCTCAGCCTCCAGGACGTGATTGAGCTCCTTCACCTGGGAATTAACCAAGCACATGTTTCTAACTTTGTTTTTCATTATTAAAAGCATCCATAAACAGAGGCCTTCTTCACACAACCTTTGACACAACCCAGTGTCAAACAGCTGACTCAAAATGAACATTTTATGTCTGAAAATAAACCTTTCAAATTTACTACAGACTGAGATGATGGCTGCTGGATCATTGACTTCTACCAGCTTTTACAAGACTCAACTGATGTATTACTCATTCCTAGAGTCAAAACAATATCACAGTCATAATCATAACTAAAGGCTGTAATGTCATACATATACTGCCCTACAAAGGCAAAAGACCTTAACACGCTAGAGTGTGAAACTGAGAAAAATTACTTTAAAGATTTGTATTTGTCCAGACAAATTAATTATAGATGGGACACTGGAAATCTGGCAGTTAGATGTTTTAGTAATGAGTAAATTTGAGCTCAAACTTTATTTTTACTCCTGTTTTGAAGTTACTGTACTCTGCCTTTGCATTGTCGGGAAAAAGTGAGAAGTCATGCCAATTTGGCAAAAAGGCCTATTGTTTATATACATTATATACAATATTTGGTTCCTGATCACAATTTACTAAATCATTAGTAACACCTGTATAAAATCTAGTGATAAAGGCTGTTTCATAGGCTATAACATACAGTAATGTGACTGTATTCGTTTTTTTTGCAACAATCAGATAAAAAGTTAAAAGTTAAACGTGAGTGGATACCGTTTTGGATACTCCAGTGGATACTCCAATTTATTTGCAATGTTCACTAACATTAAAGGATGCAAGACATAATGCTTAGAATGCTTGTGGATTTAACATCTCCGACGACGTTCACTGTCATGGATTTTATCGGGTTACAAGAAAATGTAGGATATGGATTTAATTGCGAACCGTTTCTACGGATTTTGTGAGATCATGCTACGCTGTCACGGCATTCGAGTCCACGCGCGTGCAGAAGTGGGCAGCCCCAGACTGACATGCTGGCACTGAGAGAATAATCTGCATTATAAAAAGAAAGAAAACGTTTAAAGAGTATTTACGATTAATTATTTTTGCCAAGTTATCTAGTCTTTGCTTGTTTACAGTGCTTCGTTATATGGAGCAGTTTGGTAGATCGCGATCTGTCGGCAATTTTTTAGACAAACGAATTAGATAGATGTATGAAATAACACAAGCTACACCGTAATTTAAACGCGGCAGACTTTAATGGACAGTAAAACAAAGGCAGAAAACCGTATAACGCCAATCCGGCACAGGAACTTCATATTGATGCGCGGCTAAACAAAGGCAGAGCACCGTAACTCAATTTGAGCGTTCCAAAACAAAGTCAAAGAGCGGTAACTGGTGTTATATACGGTATTCTGCCGTAGTGTCTCCTGAGCTTTTAGAAGTTACCGTTAAGACAACCCATTATTTTCTCGGAAAAAAAAACAACGAAATTGACTCAAGATACTTATCCACATGGTAAAGGAGGTCTTGAATGTCTCAAAAATATCAATAACTAATTTTCGACCAAAACAAAATTATGGTCTTTTGCCTTTGCACGGCAGTATACACCCATGATTCTTTTGCTCAGGCGTGAAAATTTGTCTATTCATGAGGTCATGATAACCACATGAAATGAACGAAATGACATAGAAATGAGTCAAATCTAATAATATATCTGAACAAAACAGTCTGGCTCTCAGTTCCACTTTTTTGATGCACGTCTAACCTTCGCTGCCTCGAGTTCCTTAACTCGATCTTCTGAGCTTGACAGTTTGGCCTTCAGCGCTGCAATCTCACTCTCCATTGGCATCACCACCGAGCGTAGCTTCTCTGCATCCTCCTGAGCCTAGATTAATACAAACCCAAGCTTGCTAAACACACCCAGTACCAACATGATGCAAACACTCTGGCTTTGAGTCACGATTCAGAGAAAACGGCTGTGCATTATCTCTTTCACAGTTCTGGGAAGTAAAAGGCTAAAAAGTAGCCACATCAAAAAGCAATTCTGACCTTCTTCATCTCGTTCTCTAAATTCTCCTCCTCCTGTCCCTCAGAGAGACGGCGGCGGAGCTCAGCTATCTCTCGCTCCACCCCGTCGCGGTACTGTGCCCACTGAGCGCGCTCCTGCTCCAACTTCTGCTGGAACTGCAACTTAACTTCCCGATCTGCATCTGAACATGCACGTCAAGATAAGGACTTATGCATCAAACGGAAAGCCTCAGGAACACAATTTATATTCACGGGCAGAGATTAAAAGTAGAAATCTTGCTAATCCTTCCTTGCCTGGATAGGGTTCATTAATGCCGTTAACGATTTAACAAGGCTTACACTGAATCTGAACTCACACACGCACTGCAGACTTCTGTCTCTACACATCATGTGTTCCTCAAATGTTCATTTATTAAATATATTGGCTAATATACTGTAAAAATACATTCAGCGACCAACATGAGTGAAGTGCATTTAACACATTTGACTGGAGACAGACTAATTATCGGTATATTCAGCAGTGCTTAAATGTTAGGTAACACCTCTCAAAACTGTATACAGGCACATAACTAAAAACATACTCGTATGATCACCAAGACTGTATCTAGCTGATCAAAAATACAGTTAAAAAAAAAAGTAATATTGTGAAATTTTATTACAATTTAAAATAAATTAATATATTTTAAAATATAATTCATCCATGTAATGGCAACGTTTTTTTGTTTTGTTAATTGAAGTAAAGCTGAAATAAAATGAAATATAAATATTAGATGAAAAAAAATGTAAATGTTGTCCTGGCAGCTAATTAACATAAGTAAATGTATTAACTGGAAATAAATAAAAACTAAAACTGAACTAAAGCTAGAACTGGAAAAAAAAATAATAATAAAATAAAAACTAAATAGTAACATTAAGAAAAGCTAATAATAAAATACAAAATTACATAACAAAATTACTAAAAATTTAAATAAAACTGAGATAGCAAAAAAAACTAAAGAACAGCATCTATTTGAAATATAAATCTTGTATAAAGAATAAAATAAAAGTATTGCTGAATAAAAGTATTTCTTTCTTTAAAAACCAAACTTATGTAGAACTAGTCTAGATCATATGAAAAACAGCAAAAAATAGTGCCATCTAGAAAGTCAGCATTGACTTGATAATTGATCAAATTTTAAGTTATTTTATACCCATGGTTTCTTCTTAAACGCAGTGGCGTGATGGCATTGAAGGGTGCTCTCTTTAATTTGCTGCTTGCAAAATGTATTTCACTTTGTATTATCACTCAAAGCAGCATTAGTCTCGTCGCACAGCAGTTCAGTCACCTTCAGGATAGTGATGAATGATTTAGTTACCGTTCCAAACAGCAGAAATGGAACAATAAATAAAAAGCGGTTCAGCGTATCGGTTATCAGACACTTTAGCATGAAAATAATCAGTATCTTATTACCTTTCATAATAGCCTGCAGTGACGCCACCTCCTCCTGCCACTGCTGCTTGACCTGGTCGATGGCTTCCTGCTTTGTGCTCTCAGAGATGGTGGCCACCGCTTTGATGGTCTCCATCTCTGTTTTAGCCTCGGTCAGCTGTGTCTGCACACTGCTCAGCTCTGCCTGGGCCTTGTCCAGTATAGCAGCCTGCCTCTTCAGCTCCTCTGAGATATTTACAGGACAAGAACAAAAGGTTTATGTAGAGGAACCGACAGCTTCAGTTCTGTAAGGCCACTAGCATCTGTTTCTCTATCACAGCATGTCCTCATTATGACGTTTCATCAACTTTAGTCAAGTTGATAAAACGTCATAATGAGGACATGCTGTTATAGTGAAACATGGGTACAAACATAATTGGAATCTGTTTGCACCCATATTAATTACTGTTCCACTTGTGATCAGATCAGCCGAGACATTTGCATTAAGTGTAAACGGAGCCTTGTGTTCAGATCCCTGCTAACATTGTTAGAAAAGTCTTGAAATGTATCTGGCTTAGTAGTTTCATCCTGCCCCAGGACAGACTCACTATGAAATAAAGATCTATGATGACGGCTGAACTGTTTGTTTGTTGTTCAGTCTACTGTATCTATGTGTGCATCCAGGCACAATGTGTAATGGATGTGTTACACGTCTACTGAAAGGATGAGAACTGAAAGAATTTGTTTTCCCTATAAAACTGCATGTGATGATGAACTACACCTCTGCTAGGACACCTTTGTGAACTTCATACATCCAACAAAAAAATACATAAACAAATAAAAAACAAAAACATAAAAAAAAAAGCTATAAAAACCCAAACTAAAAACAAGCAAATCTAAAAACAAATATTTTAAATAAAACTTTTTCTGTATCTTACTGGTCCATCGGTAGATATTTTAAACAATATATTACCTTCTTTAGACAGATAGAGTTCCTTAAATTTGGCCCGCTTCTGGTTGAACTCCATCTCCAGCTGTTGTTTGAGCTTCAGGAAGTCGGTTCGATCCTGCTCCTGCTCGGCCGCGTGCTGCTGCAGAACCCCTGCTGGAGCAATCAAACATCCATCAGTGCCACACATTCACAAAAATCTACACCTCCAACCTCAGAAAGTAGGGATGCACGATTAATCGAAATTAAATCGCAAAGGTGATAAATCGAGATTAGGCAAAAGCTGCGATTGTCATGCGTATCTTTCAGTGAAGCACGGTTCTGTGATCAGTAGTAAATCTCCATCCGAAGGCCAGAGGGCGCTCTCACACGGAAACTCCAGATACGCAACACAGGAAATGCCTATAGTGGTTGTTGAATAAACAGAATATTTAACTGCTTTCATTGATTCAACGTGACTAATAAACACACGACTACGACAACATATGGTTTATCGGAGTTAGTTTTATTATAATTTTTATTATAATAAAGTATATTATAATGCAATGCTAATCAACATAGCCTTTATCACAGCTTATAATACTATGAAATATGTTGCGTGCTAGGGGTGTGCCATATCATACTGTCCACCGGTTTGATAATACCGGTATAATTTTTTACATGATAACAAAAGTGCCATATTGCGATAATGATATAGCGACGTGATGACGTATGGCGGATATATGTACGTTCCCTAGCGCGCACAATAACAACACCACAAACCCAATAGGTGTGTTCGATGCATTATTTACACTCATTTTACTCCTGAGTGTAAAGAGCCAAAGTGCCTTTCTGATAGGGCTGCATGATTAATCGAATGTGATTGTCATGCACATCTTGTCAGTAAAGCCGGTTCTGTGATTAGTAGTAAATCTCCAGCGCGTGCTTTCAGATGGAGCAGCATTGACTACACAGAGCCGTAGTTCACTGACAAGCTATGCAAAATCGCGTTCATAATCACAGACGATTTAATTGCGCGATTATGAAATCGAAGAGATCGTTCTGCGATTATGACGCGATTTTGCATAGCTTGTCAGTGAACTACGGCTCTGTGTAGTCAATGCTGCTCCATCTGAAAGCACGCGCTGGAGATTTACTACTAATCACAGAACCGGCTTTACTGACAAGATGTGCATGACAATCACATTCGATTAATCATGCAGCCCTATCAGAAAGGCACTTTGGCTCTTTACACTCAGGAGTAAAATGAGTGTAAATAATGCATGAGCCTTGATGGGACACAAAAAGATGATTGAAAAAAAAAAAGGTTGTTGGGAGACTGAGATAATCATGCTTGCTTGGCTAAATAATAGAAGTATTGTGCCAGTGCACTGAAAGTGTCTCACTCTTTTTTTTCTTTACATTTTTTGTAAATGAATTGTTTTTTTTAATTAATTAATTGATATATTTTTATTTTCTGAAGATACACTACCATTCTTGGTCAATTATGATATGGTTAATATTAAATATTATATGTTATTAAAATGTTAAAAAGCGGTTTTCTGTTTGAATACATTTCAAAATGCAATTTATTCCCTGTGATTAGTAGTAAATCTCCAGCGCGTGCTTTCAGATGGAGCAGCATTGACTACACAGAGCCGTAGTTCACTGACAAGCTATGCAAAATCGCGTTCATAATCACAGACGATTTAATTGCGCGATTATGAAATCGAAGAGATCGTTCTGCGATTATGAAAGCGGTTTGCGTAGCTTGTCAGTGAACTACGGCTCTGTGTAGTCAATGCTGCTCCATCTGAAAGCACGCGCTGGAGATTTACTACTAATCACAGAACCGGCTTTACTGACAAGATGTGCATGACAATCACATTCGATTAATCATGCAGCCCTATCAGAAAGGCACTTTGGCTCTTTACACTCAGGAGTAAAATGAGTGTAAATAATGCATGAGCCTTGATGGGACACAAAAAGATGATTGAAAAAAAAAGGTTGTTGGGAGACTGAGATAATCATGCTTGCTTGGCTAAATAATAGAAGTATTGTGCCAGTGCACTGAAAGTGTCTCTCACTCTTTTTTTTCTTTACATTTTTTGTAAATGAATTGTTTTTTTAAATTAATTAATTGATATATTTTTATTTTCTGAAGATACACTACCATTCTTGGTCAATTATGATATGGTTAATATTAAATATTATATGTTATTAAAATTTTAAAAAGCAGTTTTCTGTTTGAATACATTTCAAAATGCAATTTATTCCTGTGATAGCAAACGCTGAAGTTTCAGCAGCCATTACTACAGTCTTCAGTGTTACATGATCCTTCAGAAATAATTTTAATATTAATGGAACTCTAATATTTACAGCTCAAGAAATATTCTTATTATTCTCAATGTTTAAATCAGTTGTGTTTTACTTTTTTTTTCAGGATTCTTGATAAGGAAAAGATCAGCATTTTAAAAAAATAATAATAATTTATAGATGTATAAATAGATATAATATAATATAATAAAATATAATACAGATGTCTTTAATTCAATTAATGCATCCTTGCTGAATGAAAATATTAATAAAAAAAAAATCTTACTGACCCCAAACTTTTGAGCTGTAGTGTATTTGTACTAATTTCAAGCATATAAATCTTTAGTCCAATGAATAATTAAAAGACAGCTGACATTCTTTGGAGTTCACATGTTGGGAATTTTATTTGGGACAACTTGGATTCTCATTCACTAATCAAACATGTCACGGCCCTCTTTTGCTCTTTGGACCTTTACACAAACTATACTTTGACAGCAGCCATTACTACAGTCTTCAGTGTTACATGATCCTTCAGAAATAATTTTAATATTAATGGAACTAATATTTACAGCTCAAGAAATATTCTTATTATTCTCAATGTTTAAATCAGTTGTGTTTTACTTTTTTTTTTTCAGGATTCTTGATAAGGAAAAGATCAGCATTTAAAAAAAATTATAATAATTTATAGATGTATAAATAGATATAATATAATATAAAATATAATACAGATGTCTTTAATTCAATTAATGCATCCTTGCTGAATGAAAATATTAATTAAAAAAAAATCTTACTGACCCCAAACTTTTGAGCTGTAGTGTATTTGTACTAATTTCAAGCATATAAAACTTTAGTCCAATGAATAATTAAAAGACAGCAGACAATCTTTGGAGTTCACATGTTGGGAATTTTATTTGGGACAACTTGGATTCTCATTCACTAATCAAACATGTCACGGCCCTCTTTTGCTCTTTGGACCTTTACACAAACTATACTTTGCAGAAAAAGTTCTGTGATTGTCATATATCTTCTTTGTCTTTCGTGTACTGTAGATAGTAAATACGCTCCTGCAGTGCGTTAAAGGAATAGTTCACCTAAAAATGAAAATTTGCTGAAACTTCACTCGCCTTCAGGCCAGAAGATGTAGATCAGTTTCTTTTATCATCTGAACAGATTTGGAGATCACCAATGGATCCTCTGCAGTGAATGGGTGCCGTCAGAAAGAGTTCAAAGGGCTGATAAAAACATCACAATAATCCACAAAACTCCAGTACAACAATTCAATTCTAGAAGAAAAAAAAATGGGTGTTTGTAATTTAAAAAAAATCCATCAATAAGACATTTTAACTTCAAATTATTGCTTATGGCTAAAATATAAGTCCTCTATAATATTGTTTTCTCCAGTGAAAAAAGCAGTCTTGTCTGAATCAGGAGAGAAATTAACACAGATCAAGCACCGTTTAGCGAAAACAGTCCAAAACCGTTCTAAACAAATATGTGGATGGATTTTGATGTAAGAGGGCAACACTGGATGGACTTTTTCACTGAAGGAGGCATTATTATGTATTATGTTTAAACTGTTTAAAGTTATAAAAAAATAAAATAAAATAAAAAACGTCTTTGGATTTGTTTCTTACAAATACACAGCTTTTGGACTGGAGTTGTGTGGATTACTTTTTGATTAAAAGCATCACAATAATCCACAACCCTCATTCTGGCGGCACCCATTCACTGCAGAGGATCCAATGCATTTCTCCAAATCTGTTCAGATGATAAAAGAAACTGATCTACATCTTCTGGCCTGAAGGCGAGTGAAGTTTCAGCAAATTTTCATTTTTAGGTGAACTATTCCTTTAACGCACTGCAGGAGCGTATTTACTATCTACAGTACACGAAAGACAAAGAAGATATATGACAATCACAGAACTTTTTCTTTCTTTTTAATCCACTATCGGTACATCCAATCATAAACTGGGTCTTTAATATTGCTCATATTGTGCTTAAAATTTTTAGAGTAGACTTGCAACATTTACCATAGTATTATAAAAAGGTACAATAAGACCTTTACAAGTATTCCACACAAAAAAATATATATATACGAATAGCACTTTTTGTTAGTGCATGCCATGGTAGTACTTATGTGGCATATACATCAATGCATGGCTAAAATCAATATGTACATCACTGTATAAATATAGATGCATGCGAACGACGCCATCATCTGAACAACATTACAAACAAGAACAAGCAGACATGATAATCAATGACTTGAAATATATAAAAGCAAACCCCTGCCTGTCCTGATACTCTTAAACACTGTCAGTCCAGCTGGTGCAACATCATCATGTTGACCATATAAACACGCTTGTGTGTAGCGTTACCTGTAGACCAGCAGAGCCTGTGCTTGGTGCAAGAAGCGTTCTCTCAGAAGCATCGACACATGTCAAACATGAAAGCATCATATGAGTGTTTTCATAAATAGGCAAAGCTCGTTGTCAGCCGGTTGGCTGTTGCTTGCTAATCCGTTCACGAACAGGCCGCAGGCCTACAACGAGCACAGCTAAATCTGCACGATAAACCTCTCCTTGTGGTGAAAGACGCTTACCGTCATGTTGAGGCGGCCAGGTGGATCCTGAGGCCTGCTCGGCCATGGTTTCCCGGAGCTGAGTTTAGAAAAGCGGCTCGCTGAAGGAAAGAGAGGAGCGCCCAACAGCACAGGCTACCGGAGACTGAGCAACGTCATTGCAGAAATAAGACGCACTGCGCATGCGCGCACCGAATGGGCGGAGCTGCCTGCAGTAACTGATAAATTCATGATTAATAAACAACGCAGAAAGACATTATGTCTGCGTTATCTATATTTATTTATTTTATAAATGCAATTTTATTTGTACTGTTTGTACGGTATATGTGTCTTGTTTATTATTCATTTATTAATATATCAGTTTTAATAAATAAATTAATGAATAAGTCACTGAATATTCAGATGAAACCCACTACACCGCAAGATAAATACATAAATAAAAAGATCAGCAATTTGTCCATGGCACTATACTACAATTATGCACAACCAAGCAAGCAACAAAAACAATCAAACATACCACAGCAAATAAATAAACAAATTAATTAATTAATAATTCACTGAATGTACAGCATCCACTATACCATAATAAACCAATCAACCAACCAACAAATGAAAAAATAAAAATAAAAATGCTGAATGCACAGCCAGAATACCCACTACACCACAATAAATAAATAAATAATCAATAAATCGATCAATCGCAAGGAACAAACTACTAAAACTTGCTTTGTGTTCACGTGTATTCCTACGTGTTAGGACTTTGTTTAATAAAGAAGAGACCATGACTGCTACCAAACATGAGACTGATTCAGTTATTCGCAGAATAGCACCATCTCTCTGTCTCTCTCTTGAGTTCAACTCCCCACAGCACACTAATTCACAACTAGCAATATACTTCTGAGTCCTAAGGCTTACTTTGACCATAATAAATAAATAAACTCATGAATAATTCTCTAAAACTTTTAGCGGCCACACCCACTATACCACAATGAATAAATAAACAAATGAATCCCTGAGGCCACACCCACTGTAGACATGTAGAAGCCTCTTTTTGTGATGACAGCGAATTGCATGTCCGGATTCAGTTCTCTGCAAAATAGCAGAAGTTTTACACCATCCTTCAGTCTCTCTTTCGAGTTCAACTCTCCACTACTAAAGAAAACACACACATGTATAACTGACTGACAACACACGTCTGAGTCACACAGAGACCTACAGCTTATGTGGAAAGACGGCTGGGCGGAGAGAGGCTGCAAGTTCTGAAGAATTTAATCATTTCTTTAAAATTCCCAGATGTTTGTGACACTCCTATAATTGCCATTTCCCAGATCATGTGCAAGGCTGATGTGATCTAGACTGAAGACCAAGGTAATTATGTTTCATCCCATTTTGTATTTATTTTCACTAACACATGTGAACAGCCATTACAAAACTAAACAAGATTATAAATTAATAGCAATTCCAGTGTGATTTAGAATACAGAAACACCTCATTACAGTAATGTATTGGTTATTTAAGTTTGTCAATCTAAAAGATCTCCTTAATATTGTCAAAACCAATCTAAGATCTGAAATCCTTTGAGTATGTGATCTACTATATTTCCTTTACAGTACACAATATTGCTTTACTTTATTTTCTTTTGGATTGTGTGAGTCTGCACTGAGCGATTCAATTTATGAATAACGGTCTACTCTCTAATTCTGTTTGTGAAAATGATTAAAATGATTAAAATACTGAGCTATTAAAATAAATGAATTTCAAAACTTAAAAGGTCAACGGAATGAGATGCATTCGGTCGCATTGTATAAGCCAGTGCTGATAAAAGAATGACGCAGGAAGACAGTTAATCATGTAAAGCTTGGTCTCTAGCAGGATGAGTGCTATGAGCATGATAGAGACATTGCTACAGAGATCAATCTGAAATATTACAAATGAAAAATGACTGTATTCATTCACGCATATGGCTTCGTTTTCTAGCATTACAAGTAGCTTTTAGAAGCATATTAAACAAACATTCTCCACCCAGGAAACACAGCTGACTGGAAAATAAGAAACTTCAAGCATGTGCCTGAACAGTGCTGAAAAGAAGAAGTAGCAGGAGTTTCAAGTATGTTATTAACCAAATATCCTTATCTAATAGTGATATATCATAGAATCTGAACATTTTCTATGTTTCATTTCCCAGATGGAGTTTTTACGTCAGTACTTCTGGCTAGCATTAGTTCTGGCCATCATTCTGGTGTCTCTGGTGATAGTAATGATTTTCATAATCATCAATGTTTGCATCAATAAAAGAGGTAAAATTCATTTGGAAAAAACTATACAGAAATTATGTTCAACGTGGTTAATTATCACACTTTTTACTGTGGTCAATTTAATTAATACTTCCAATACTATTGCCCAGGAAAAAGTTGTAGTTCATTTACATTTAGCCGACGCTTTTATCCAAAGCGACTTACAAATGAGGACAATACAAGCAGTCAAAACTAACAACAGAGCAACAATACACTGCAAAAAATGATTGGGATTTTAACAGTAAAAATGCTACAGTAAAAACCTGTTAATTGGTTATCAGTAACTTTCCATACTATATACGGTGAATAGCTGTAACTCCATTTAATGTAATTTTACAGTAAAATACTGTTAAAATGACGGTTTTTGGAAGTGAAAAAGAAAAAGTCATTGTATAATTTACAGTGAAAATACATCAACTTAATAAATTTACACATTTAACATTAGTGTAAACATTTAACGCCCATTAACTCCATGTTTACAGCTATTGTAAAAAAAAAATTAAATATCAAGGAATTCCCAAATATGATTTTTGGGTTTTGAACTAAATGTTTGAAACTGACATTCAGCTGCAGAAAACAACCTTCCGTGTCATTTCGCATAACTGGACTCAAAACCATACTGAAAAATAAGCTTTGTGGCCATTGGTCTAGTCATTATAAAGCAGTTTGAATGTTGTATACCACTTTTGTTTGATTAATTTTATTTAACATTTGTCATTTCAATCTTTGTTTCCTCTTTTTCTAGCTGCTTGGTACAGTACACAAGCAAGCCCAAACCATTATAATGACACACATTTTAAAAAGCAGTAAGTCTGTCAGGCTCACTTAAGACTGGATGTTTATTACACAAAAATGTGCTTCACTCTAAAATAAATGAGTTTTTTTTCATTGCAGGAACAACCAAGTTAATCACAAAGACCATGAGACTGAGAAACCACCCTTACCTCCCAGGGATCAGTTCAAATCCATGCATTCTGGTCAGTTTCGTTTTTATACTGTATATTATCATAGATGCTTTAATTGACTTAACTCTATGACATACATACCCATTTTCTTTCATGAGCAAAAACATTCATGAAGATAAATAAAAGGCCTTTCTTGAACTCGAGAGTCATTTACCTTTAAAATATGAAATCAAAACTCCAGTTTTGTGGCTTTCTGTCCATGTGTGTCAGGTCAATAGCATACTCCTAAACATTGGCAAAATTATCTTTTAGCAGATGTACACATTTAAAATGGACAGTTTCTCCAGGAAAACGGATCAAAATATTGATGCCTCATGGCACTTTCAGGGCCGTGTCCAATTGTTTGTCTAATCAAATCACATTCTCTCTAATGAGAATGCCTTCCCTCAACAGACCTTAGTCAGGGCAGCACCATATTTTATTTTTGACAGGAATAAAATTGAGGCCGTGACCGTGAGCAGCAGAAGTACAGTACGTTCATTGGATTGTACTGTTGTTTAACCACTGATTGTTCAACTGACAAAATGTCTTTCTGAAAAACTTTCAATAGACCAAAACTTCATAAAATAGTGAGTTGGCGAAAATTACGTGACCTTTATAGAGTGTGTGCCATTGTAAAGACTCGAAGTCTATCCCTCACAGCCTCGTTTTTATCCGCGTAAAAGGGATCGCCCAAAAACGAAAGTTTTGTCATCATTAACTCACCCTCATATTAGTTGATGATAGCCATTGACTTCCACAGTATTTTCCCCAATACTATGGAAGTCAATGGCTACCGTCAAAAGAGCTTGTATAAGTTTGGAACAAGAGTGAGTAAAGGATGATAGAATTTTAATTTCAAAACTTGCTTTTTTAAATTAACTACGCCTTCTAACCTGACAACCTGCCTCTGAATCGCAAGTAGTAAAATACAGGTCATGGCCATGACGCATGACAAACTCTTCAATATTTCACATGATACATGTCAACACAGGACAGATCTCTAAAGTTTATCCACCTTATTTTAAGCAATGCAGTCATTTTGTAACTGGCTTCCGGTGTCATTCACTTCCAGTTATTTTAGCTGTACAAAACAACCCATTATGCTGCTTGAAACTACAAACTGGTATTTATTGTCTTATTCATAAAAACACTAAAGTTTTACAATTTACTGCACTTTATTATTATTCTACTTATTTACCGACTAATCAATCTGAAGTCTTGCAAATTCACAGAAAATAGCTTACTTCCACATTTCAAAACAACGTGGCTAGGATAAATGCTTTTCAGACCTCTCTCTCTGCATATTACCACAAGCAAACAGAAATGTAAAAAGTTCAATATCATATCTGAATTTCCAGTGGATCGGAGTTATGAGGATTTGGAGCCCGCGTCAGACTATGTGGAGGTTGAGGATGAGTCAAATCCCCCTGCGCCCCAACAACCCACCTTCACGCCACACTACGCCACCGTCGAGACTAAAAGTCAAGACCAAGACGCTGTCTCTGAGGATTATGATGATGTTGAAATCCCTGCTAACGATGACTGCGAGGATTATGATGACATAGGATAAAACACAGGAAAACCATTACTTTCCCTTCACATGAGCAGACCCAGAAATCAACTATATGTTTCCTACAAACTACTATTGTACATTATTTGAGCAGAAACAAGTTCTAATAGCATGTAAACGATTACAAGTGTGTTTACTTTCATATAAACCAATCTTTCACTTCCCATTGTTAGAAATGCAATACATCTTCCAAAAATGTCATTTGATTTGTCATTTTCTGTTGAAGCACCACAAGACTTTTGTGTGGAAGTGATTATGCAAGTTCAAAGGATGTTGAGAAATATCTAAATATATATATTACATCGTATACCTATAAATGACATTTGCACTTGCAAATTTCATGTCTGATAC